TTAAAACCCTAAAGTCTATTCCAGTCCCCACATTTGACCGCCCACCACATCTCTCTACCAAAAAAGAATAAACTCACTCTCTCCCTTCTCTCATCTCTTCTTCATCTCGACAATCCGTCTGTTCTTCATTTATCTAGAACATAAACTCATTTCTTCCTTCCATATGTTCTTCTTTCTCTCCATCTCCCTTCACTGATTCCTTTTTACTATTTTTTGTGAAACTCGTTCAATTTAGAAGAAAGGAAGCAAGGAAGCCAATCCGACAGGTAAAGCTTCGATTAGGTAAGATCGAGACATGCATGCTTATTTTCTTTTCTTAGTTTTATAGAGCACCCCCCCCCCCCCCCCCCCCCCCCCCCGTTTTGGGTCTTGATTACTCTGAGGAAAGGAGAAAATAAAGGTGGCTGGAAATTTTCTCTCCGACGATCAATCGGTGGTTCAACACTCTTACTTGAAATGGGTGCTTTTTTTAGATCAATTATTCTTCTTTTATTATGTTTGAAATGATTCTGATTTTGTTCTTTCCTTTGTTGCAAGTGAGACCCCCCCCCCCCCCCCCCCCCCCCCGGTTTTGGGTCTTGATTACTCTGAGGAAAGGAGAAAATAAAGGTGGCTGGAAATTTTCTCTCCGACGATCAATCGGTGGTTCAACACTCTTACTTGAAATGGGTGCTTTTTTAGATCAATTATTCTTCTCTTATTATGTTTGAAATGATTCTGATTTTGTTCTTTCCTTTGTTGCAAGTGAGAAATTGCTGGGTTTTGTGGAAAGAAGTAAAAAAAAAAAAGGAAAGAGAGAGAGGAGAGATATGATGAAAAAAAACTAAATAAGTTCAATTGCCTTTTCTCTCCAATTTCGAGGGATGGTCAAAGAGTACTCATTCCCTCCCCTTCCACTCCCCTCGGTAATGTGCAACACTTTGGGAATGAGGGAAACTTTCTTGGAACCCCCACTTCCTTCCCTTTCATTTCCTCCGTTTTCCGCCCTTCGGGAACAGAGGGTAAAAGAAAGAATAGGAAACGTCTCTTTCTCTCTTCATTCTTGGAAAATGGTAAGAAAATATATCGTCACAATTATTAGATTAGACCCTTTAGTGTCATAGTTATTTTTGGGAAACTACAGAAGAGAAGGAAATCCTCCTTCACTTTGCATGCCAAGTTTCTTTTTACCCTAAAAAAAACTTTGAAATTTTCAGTTTTAGGTAATTTTAGGGTTTTTAAATTTGTTTTAAGCTTTAACTTTGATTGATTAAATTGAGAGAAAGTGTTTTGTTTTTGAATTTTTCGTTAAACACTTGTACACACTTCGTATCTAAATACTAGATGGGCCATGTATAAATTTTAATTTTAATTGTCAGGCCTAAAATTAAAATTTTTATAGATTTAAATGTTTAATAGTAATGCACTCATAGTATAGTGTCCCTAATAAGTGTATTACTTTGAATATTTTCATTTATTAGGCACCAGTTCATTAACGGTTTTTTAACGATCTAAATACCAGTAAAACCACTAAAGTGTGAACCATTCACTATACCGGTTCATACTCCGGTTCGATTTTGATAATATTGATAAAATGTGTAGCGTACATCAGGTTGATATGGTAGCAGTTCTTGAGACTAGGGTTTTTGTAGTTCACTGATTTCTCTTTTAGTACTGCAAGAATTTTGTTGCCTAGACTCTCTGATCATTGTGCCTTCTTAGCCTCTCCCGAGCTAGGAGTCGTAGAGTGCGATTGATGTTGTCGGCTAGCTATGCTAAAGGTGTCGGGTCACTCCGGGTCATACACTTCCTGCGCACCCACTTCACACAACACACACAAGCCAAGACAAGCAAGATCAAACTCAAAAGTGCAAAACAAAAACAAAAAATGAAAGGCCAAATTAACAAAATTTTCATAATAATAGACCGTGGTCCCTGACAATGGTCTATCTATAGAGGGTGTAGGATAGGGTAAGTATTCCAATATCAACCAGTGTGGTAAGGAAACTAGTGACTAAATAAGCAAGCAAGTAAACTTTGGTCAGTTCGATTTGAGAAAGCATCACTCAAACATTGCTCCCACTAGTCTCGTGTCAACACACAACGAATAAAACTCTAGTGTGATAGGGGTGATCATACATAGTGAGGAGTTTCCAATTAACTAGGTAAACCCTAGACCTCTCAATTGGTCGATTAAGGATTGCCAATATTAGCTAGGAACTAAACCTCTTAATTGATCAACCAAGGTTCACAAACAAATCACTCGAACAATAATCCGGAACGATAAAAAGTAACCAGTCAAGACGATATCAAGGCCCTATTTTAATGAATGAGGAATGGCCTAGGGCAGGTTACCCAAATTGCCAAGATTGGACAACAAGGGGATTTACTTCTTCTAGGTCAATTGTCCCAAAATTGAGATATGAACAATCAACACTCAAATTCCATGAATAATACCACACATTATATAAATCACAAACCCAACACACATAGAGTTCAATTCCTACAATCTAACACATCATAGATTAGGGTTCACAACATCCAAGTGAGATTGGAGACTACTCCATAGCTAGAGGAGACAACACAAATATGATAGAAGAAAAACACATTACGAACTGATCTTCCTTCCTCTTATATGCTTGATTCCACTCTGGGAGAGGAAATCAACCTTTTAGCCTTGGCTAGGTGAAAATCTCCTTCCTCCTTCTTTAGATCGTAGCTCTCTCTCAAAACCTTAAAGAAGAATCTCCAATATCTCTCTAGCCCTCCGCCTTTGAATTAAGCTAACTCTCCATTTTATAGCCCCCTAGTGCAGGAATCACGGTCTGAGATCACGCCCATAAAGTCCATCGGGTAACCGTTATCTCGGCACAAAATGCACCATATCAGTTACGATCTTCACATGTCGCTTGTTGACATTACAGTTTGCGACCGTAATCCTGACACTGCCCTCGAGCTGTAGATATCTCCCTAAAATTTGTGCTATCTTTATGGTATGGGTGTCATCTTCACAGTGTATGCATTGATAATTCCTCCAAAACTGTTATCTTTGCATCTTTCACCTTTTGCTCCATTCTCGCCCTCTTTCGTCCTAATTTAATCCCGATGACAATATTACCTACTTAGGTATGAAATATGACATACAACACGAACACACCTAGCGTAAAATAGCTTCTAAGACCAAAGAAACTGAGCAAAATGACACAAGTAACGAGGTGTAAAAGTGTATAATCTAACCCTAATCAAGCGGTGTGTTAGTAGATTATATAAGAACTATAATTTAACATCTCTCAACAACTTGAGTTATTGAGATCAAATGCTTTGCGACAAGGTTTTAGAGCCTTAGGTGATAGAGAATTTTTCTATTTGAATTCTGACGACCCCCATTTGTTAAGCATATGATATTCACACACGTGCAAAATTCAACGCGTATGAGTTGGCTATTCGTTTGAGGGATCATGTTAGTAAATGGTAGAAGATTCTTAATTGAACATTTCTTAAAAACTTGAGTTATCGTGACTAAAAGATTATTTATACAACATCCACCTCAATAATATCATTTAATCTATCGCTTCCAATCTAGTCCTTACCTCTTAATCTGGTTGCGTTCACAATGCATGTAAAGAGCCAGATTCTACATAGTTATAGTCCATCACTGGGGATTTGTAGATCATCTGCATGCTGATATGAAACCCACAGAGAGTATGTGTTTTCGTAATTCATAGGTACTCTCACCTATAGGTGTCAAAACTGAATCCGACTTGAGTAACCCATCCGTTTAACCCGACCCGCAAACTGAGCTGACTAAAAGTCAATGACCCGTAACCCGCCCGACCCGTAACCTGATTGACCCACAACCTGATCAACTCGCAACCCGAATGGCCCGCAATCCGATTGAACCCGCAACCCGATTGAACCCGAACCCAAGTAACCTGCAACCCGATTGGCCCAAACCCGACTAACCCGAACATGCCCGTTTGACCCAAATAATTACTATATTATATAATATAGTCTTTCAAAATGATGTTTTTGGTTCTAAACCAAGGCAAACCCATTTTTTCATTTTACTAACTGATGTTCAAAAACTAAAATTTACTTAAAATGATGTATTTTTCATAAAATTATAAAATTTGAAACATGACTTTCACTTGAACATTAAGCACATCTTGAAAATTACATATGTGGAATATATTGAAAACTTGGACGATTAAAAGATTTTGGTCTAATACTAATAGGAAACCCGAACTATTAAGAATGTGTCATTTGTATCCTAAAGTATCCAATATGACATTTGTGTCCTAAACTAATTTTCCGATAGAGTTGACCGGCATTGACCGTTAGTATTTAATAAATGGCACATTCTTAATAGTGCGGGTTAGGACATAAATGACACAAAACTATTATAGGTTGGGACATAAATGACACAAAACTATAATAGTTTGGGACAAAAATGTCATATTGGATACTTTAGGACACAAATGACATATTCTTAATAGTTCGGGTTTTCTAGTGGTATTAGCCCAAAGATTTTTGTTTCAAATTAATAATCAACAACATATCACTTAATTGACTCTCAATATTAGTTTTTCTACTAAATAAATACATAAATTGCTTCCCAAGTATCTTGTAGGAAAATTTAATCTCATTTGTTAAATTCTCCACCACATTTTCACTTAAGTGGGAAACTTTTCCCACTCATTTTGTAATATTATCCCAATTTTTAACTTCCTCAATGTTTCCCACCCACTTTTTGTTCTCCTCATTTTGCTTTCCCTATACAATTTGTTCTACAAAAATAAAAATCTAAGGAGGGAAATTTTTTTTCAAATTCAACACACAACATTTCATTTGCCTTATTATTAAGCTCGGTCCCCATCTCCCACGAGCTATTGTCTATAACATCAGTGTCTTGTCTATATTTCACATATGAAAATAAAATAGGATTATTAATTGACAATACTTGCAAAATTTTGGCATGAACCCTAATTTATATATATTTTTGTTAAAAAACGTTATATTTCACACATGAAAGAATTAAGCCAGCAATATATGTATATATTTAATTCATGTCTTTTTTTTTGTTATCAAATTCCCTTTCAATTGTAAAATGCCGCCCAATTTTCTTTTTGCTTGATATATATTGCTGCCCAACTTCTCTGTTCACATTCCAAAAGTGTACCTGATAGGTGAACACATTAGATATTTACCAAAACCTGTAGGTCCTTCAGCTGATATATATTTCCACCCAATATTTGTTTGGGATAATTTATATTGCCGCCAAATAATGTCGAGATAGGAAAAAGTGTTTTTCTTCTTTGCTTTTAGAGTGGTGTTTTGTTTTTTAGAGTGTCTATTGGTTAAAACGGTTCCAGGAGGCCTCCGACCAGGTGACTAAGAGGCACATGTACGCTCTGCTCACCATGTTCGACGCTCTCGACCACATCCACCTTGGCTCAATCATGACGATCTCTTTCTTTCGGGTGAAGGGTCACTTGAAGGCGATCACACTGCATGGGGAACCCTACATCACTCGCGTTTCCCGGGGGCACACCAGAGACTTCTTCGACGAGACTTTGTACTCAATGGGGCTAATTCGGGTCGCCAGGACAAACCCGCGGGTCTGTTGGCTCAAGGGTTTGCCCCCTGAGGAGTTTGCTGAGGCGGCGGAGGCCGAGGCTCCTGCCGCTGGTCGGGTTCCACCACATCAGCCTAAGCCTAACTCGCTGCAGTTCTTCCCCTGTTCTTCCTCAGCTGTGCCACCAGATGAGCGCTGCGCAGCCATTGAGGCTCCCTGCAATCGGATCGAGGCGCACATGGATCATGAGTGTGATGCTCGCTATTACTCACATATCCTGCTAGAAGGCATGTGCTCGACGGCCGATGTGGATACCACCCAGACCTTCTGTCACCCTTATCCTGCCCGAGATGCTCACGAGGAGGATTGAGACCGCCCTTTGACCATAGGCTCTATGTGTTGTTTTTTTTCTGATTTTGTTTCTGTGTGTCGAACTGGATATTTTGTGTTTTATTTTTCTTTTTTCTATTTGAAGCCATGGGGTTGACAACTGTTTGCCTAAATTTTCCCTAGTACGAGTGGTTGAGTTTTTTTTTGCCCTGCTTCTTAGAAACTTGTCCTTCTTCTAGTCTTCTCCTAATGACTGGTCCCATCTCGAGTCCCACCGTCGTCCGTTCTTCCCAGTAACATCACAACCCTTATCTTTCCCTCTTCTCCATTGAGGGAAATGTCGATTTTAAGTGTTGGGGGTGTTCATCTTTAATTTCTTAAATGCGTTTGTGTGCTTAGAACCTAGTCCACTGTCCAAATTTTACGATTTGAGGGCTCCAAGTACGTGCTCCTTGCAATTGCCTGCTCAGTATGCTTTGAATTGACAGCCTTTATAAAAGTATGCATCTAGGGAGGTATTTGTAGCCCTATAGAGGATGCGGAAGAATAAGATATGTCTTGAATTGACAGCCTTTATAAAACCGATCCACTATACTGCATTTCCATTCTACGATTACACTTGGTCGTAGTTTGGTGTTGTGTTTTAGCGAGTCAGAAGGGGAAAAAACTTACCACACTCAATAATTCTCCCTCATATATAAATAAAAACCATAATCTAACCCATATGCCCTCAAGCCGTTCACCTCCCTCTCTCCCGTGGACGTTGTCGCTCCTGCCGCTGCCACTCCACCTCCCTCTTCCTCTGTTGTGCCATCCGCCCCCTGTCGTGCCCTCTACCACACTCCGCCCCCTGCCGTCTCCGTCGCCTGCCTCCTTTCTCCCTATCGCTGCTTGCCACCACCACCATGAGGTCGTCATCGCTGACACATGCGACCAGCCATCCCATCCTCCTCTCATCGTGTTGCCGCCACCACCATCTCGTCCTCCTATGAGTGTCACCACCTCGAACCATGGTCACTCTACAGAAAAGCAAGGACCATAACCAATCACACTAAGTATATTTGTTGTATCTTTTTAAATTAAAAACATACACGAACCTAAAATATGAAAATCACATGATTTTGACCGAATGACTAAAGAACGTGCATTCCCAGAGACTCTGGTAGAGATATTTTGTCTCATTGTAGTCTTCTCTAGTCCCCTTACGAACTCTGGTTATTGGGTTTATGAAGAAGGTAGATATCACCGAGAGACTCAAATTCGATGGAATGAAAGGGGAAGAGTAAATGAATGGACTTATGGGTCAAGAGAATGGGGATGATGAAACTCGGTAATAGGGAAAGGGGTCCGTTTAGGAACCATTATGTTTTTTTTCTTCTTATGGACATTGGAAAGCAAAACCTGAACAAAAGGAAACTACCATTTTTGCCGGGTAAACCCTATTTAATTGAGAATTTTTTAGACTTTACTTGAAAACATAAATCCTATTTAGTAACGATTTCTATGATATAATCACTATTTGCAAAAATTGTTTCAAACCGGCGGCCTGACCAGTAAAATAGCCTATCAGAGCTCAAGCCAGTAGGGAGTTTAGTAGTATGAAACTGTTGAAAAATGATTTAACACAAAATATTCTATCGCTTACTTTTTTGGGTACAATCTGGTACTGTTTTACAATTGAATCAATTTAAGTGAACAACAATTCTCAAATAGGTGAAACTAACTTTTCGTGCAAGATTAAACATACTTTTTAATGAACATATTACATAAAAATTAAAAATAATTACATATTCAGTCCTCAATGTTTCGATACCATTAAAGAGTTTCAATAAATAATAGAAATATATTTAATACCCATCTCTTAATCGACTTCTCCATCAGATTCATCAGTATTTCCAAAATAAATCGAAGTCTTGATTTGGCGTAAAAATATCAACAAACATGGATACCACCCGAATTTTACTTAGTTAGGTAGGATAAGACTTGAGTGTTGAGCCCAAAGAATTTTTGCTGGGTACGGATAAAATCTGAATCCGAATATGCAGGTAACGAGTGAACATGGTTTTGTCACTAACCATCCCAAACTCATTTCATGGTACACATGCATATGTATTTTATAAAAAATTTATCATTATTTTTCTTTACATATTCTATATTTATTTTCACATAATTAGATGATTAAGTGTATTATTATTACTTGCGGCTTATTTAGATACCTTTAATGTTTAAAGGAAGGAGATTCTATAGAAGAAAGAAAAAACGAAACAGGTTTTGAGTCTCTTGCGAAAAAATGAAATGAACTTAAATGGGCAATGGGTTCTCAGTTCCCACATAAAAAATAGGGTAATGGCCAATGGGTCAACACTCAACACACAAGAGGAGTGGGTATAAAAGCTTTTTAATAAACCCTAATTCAATATAGCAAAACCAAACGACCGCCTAACCCTCTTTTCCTCCCTTCCTTATTTATTCGGGTCCAATTGTACACATTTTACCCTTCATATCTTGATAGTTTGGCTTTGCATTCCATCGTCCCTCGACATATTTCACGATAGGTTGTGCTTGTTTTGATACATTTTAGGTCCTAGCATGTGTGGGAAGGTCGAGGACGAGTTTCGGGTCGATTGGAGGTCGAAAAGGGCCAAACGTGAAAAAACTTGCAGGCAGGTTCTAGAGGTTACTGATGACTAGGCAGTTCACAGTCTCTAGCTAAGACCGTGAACTTTGAGTGCAATCTGTGAACCCTTGAGAGTAAAGCGGTGCGTTTTGGAAACGACGCTGAGTTCACGGACGCGTTAAGGTGTTCACGGTCGTGAACAGGGGAGAGCTGGTTTGTGGAGAATGAATTACTTTCTTTATCTAGGGTTTCAACCCAAAACACCAAAGCACTACAAAAAAGCCACACAGTTTTGACGAAAACTTTCAGACGACAGTAAAAATACGTCAGAAAAAGTGTTTTTTTCGACGAAAATATGTTCTCGTCAGTAATTCTAACCTTATTACTGACAAACCAAATACATGATAAAAAATGATAAGATTTTCCTTCATTAAAGACAAATTTTTGAGAATCAAATGTCAAAGTCTAACTATTTATGACGATTTTTTTTGTTGCGTCAGAAATATGTTAATATTACAGACGTTTTTTTAGTAAAAAAAAATCACTATTTCTATCGGTTAAAATGTATGCGTCAGAAGAAAAAATTGTTTTGACGAGCTCTCGCAAACGTCGAAATCGAATTGTAAGAAAAAATCATATTTCTGAGGCCGCCAAATTAGTCGTCAGAAATAGTCAGTTTGTACTAACGACAACCCATGTACGTCGGTAATAATTTTTCCAGAAAAAATGCTATTACTGAAAAGGCAAAAAAAATTCATCGAAAATAATGTACCACCTTGTTAGGAAAATAATCAAGACGATTACAAAAAAATCTATTTCTGACAAATCCAAAAAACCGTCAGAAATAGTCAGATTTTACTAACGAATACCTAGTTTCGTCATTCTTAACCTGTCAAAAATACTATTATTATTGACAAGGCAAAAAAACGTCGTCGGAAATAATGTACTAACTCGTCAAGGAAAAATGAGATCGGTTACAGAAAAAATAATACTTCTGACAAAGTCAAAAAAATTCGTCACAAATAGTAGGCTTTAGTGACGAAGACCTATGTTCGTCGGTTCTAATCCGTTAGAAATAATGTTATTACTGAGAAGGCGAAAAAAAGTCATCGAAAATATTGTTCTAACTCGTCAGAAATAAATGAGAACGCTTACACCGTAAACTAATATAAGTTGTTCGGACGATATAAATATCATTTGCGAGTAGCATTAATCATTGGTTCATAATGCAATGTTTAGAGTACAAAAAAAAAAGTTTGTAATGAGATAATGCAATTGAAATATTATATTCTTGGTTAACTTTTCTTCATTAAAAGGCATTTGAAACAAATTTCTTGGCACTGTTTCCATCATGGTTTCTCAATCAAAATCTCACAAACACTCCACATAGTAAACTTGAATTGTTTGACTGGCCAGAACGAATGGCTCATTCATTCTAAACTTATGTTTTGTGTTGATAGTAATAGTAACATGCCTATCATTCTTGTAACCAACACCTTCTCGAGTTGTGTCAAATACTGAACTACTAAATTAAAATGAATTTTATATCCTATTGGCATACGATTTGATTTACCGTCTATTGACATGCATCTTGAGAATGAAAAGTTTTTTGGTTAGTTTTACTCTGGCCAATTGATTGCCTACGTAACCAAGTAGTTAGGATCAAAGTTCACGTAATTTGGTCAAATTGATAGAGTTTGAAGAGAGTTCTTTACACGTTCTATTGATATGTGATTAAGAATTTAAGATAATAATTGATTTTCTTATTTGAGATATTTAATTTGAAATTACCAAATATCACACAACTAAATTTCATAACCAAATTTATTGGCTACGATCCTTCTAATTTTTTGAAGCAACTAATACTTTTGGTCAGATAAACATACTAAAATGGTCACTTAGTAACAAACATTTTTAAACCATATTAAATTCACGTCATACAAAATTTACTTTTTTCTAACAAATTTTTTATTAGTTATCAAAAGTTTATATTCTTCTGTTGGTGCAAAACCCTAAATGAGGGTGCTCTAGTCTCTTTAATGTCTGGGAACATATAAAAATACCTTTTAGCAATTGGAAACCCTTGAGCGGCCGCCCTTCTCCACTTCATCCTCTGTTTTGTCCCCAAAACCCTTCAACTTCCTTCTTGATTCTTCCTCTTTCTCTCCATATACGAACCAAAATAACCAAAACAAACTCATTGCACTAGAGACTACCCTCAGATCGACTGGAACGAACAGATCTGGGTAAGATTTATCTGTGCATGTTCTTTTGTTTTAGTGTGAATAACAAAGGCAGATGCATACTATTTTCGTACATTTATGTATTCTTTATTTTTCTCTTTTTTGGGCATAGATTGTGTATAATAATTGGTAGGCATACAATGCAGAATGCTTACAAATATGTATTCTATATTTTTCTTTTGGGAAAGCAATTTAAATCTAGACATGATGTTTTTTATTCATATTTATGGTATATTTGTCCTTACCAAGGTTGTCAACCCACAGGTTGACCTGGATCCGGTGGAGCTAGTGGGTCAAGGGTTAATGGGTCACTCGTTTTAGCCCGGTTTAGCCAGGAAATATATAAAGAGTCATTATATTATACTTATCCTGATAAATTATATCAAATCTCATCTAACATATGAATTATAACAAATAATATTACACCAAATAACATGTCGTACTTAGATCCAACATATAGTGAAAATTTACACACACTTATATAACATCAATATTTAAATGTTCAACTTAGGGTTCCAAAGATTGAGTTAGGCGAAAAGAAAATCGGAAAATAGACGCCTTTTGCAAACCAATGAAAAAAATGACACAATTTGACTTCTAATCCGGTACCTTGTAGCGGCCGACCCAACGAGTACGTCCAACTCGTTTTTCTCAATGGGTAAGAGTCAAAATGAGTCAACCTCGGGTCGACGCGCTGGTTGAAAACCTTGAGTCCTTACCTACCGCCTAGACGTATGCGGGATTAAGCTTCTTTGCTTTTCACCGTTCATTCTATCTCAAATGCCACAAGCTTCGGAGATTGGAAGCAACTCATCGCCACCAACTAACTATGATAAATTTCTGAAAGAATTCATATCGGATTTGAATTTGCTGCAACAATGTGATTAAATAAATTTACAAATATAACTTCCACCCCATTCGAATTTTTCTACAACGTGAGTGAAAGTAGGAAGGATATTTTTGTTTTCACATTGATTTATTTGTTTCTCATTTATTCCTGTAAAAAAAACATACTAGTATTTGAACCATGATCATTTTCCATAATAACAAGAATCTTAACCAATCAAACTACAAAGATTAGTAGTATCATTTCAAATAAAAAACGTACATCAAGCTAAAATTAAAAAATCACAGAACTTTTCAATGGTTAACTAATGTCACTAAATCTTCGCTCGGTAGTTATTGGTGTTTTGATAGTTCAATTTTCATATTTAATTACTTTGATTATATTTTGATTCTTAATTTAAATTTCTATTTATCTTATAAATAGAGGATAACTTTAAAATCATAGACATAATATCATTGTTCAACATTACATATCAAATTTGTAGAAGCGATGTTGAACTCTTACATTAGTATTAGTTTATAGAACTAGTATGAGACAATTATATTCATATCTTTTTGCAAACTATATGGGGTGGGTTCTTTGAACGTTTTAGCTCGGG